ATGCTGGTACTATAAATAAATCTTTCAAGATAATATCAAAGAACTAAATGCTAATTGCATTCAAAAAAGGATAGCCATCTTTGTACTAGTTCCAATTTAAATCAAATTCCAATCAAAATCACTTTTTCCAAACCATCCAAGAGGCTTGGTTTTTTTTTTAAAGTGATTTCTCCAAATTACAGGTCTATTCCACTATTAAAAATTAATTCATAAAACTTGAAGCTGTACCATATACATACATGCTACATATTATACATAATCTATGCAGAAACAAAGCATAAATCAAAATAAACAATTGAGTTATTAAATTAAATTGATTAAATTTTTTAACATTTTTATATGAACATTTTATATTGATTTTGTCATTTTTATATTTTGCATAATTATTTAACATTATTTTACAAGTTATCAAACATATTTTCTAACCGAGTTTGTAAAGTCATTCCACAAGTGCAAGAATCTGTTAAATTAAAGTAACTGTATGGTGTACTAAACCGTATCCAGATACTTATATAAAAATATTCCATTTGCTTTCCTGGCATAAGAAATGTATTTTCATGTTTTTAAGAATTTCACCAAACAAGAAATATACAATTGAAGATTTTAATAGAGTAACTTCAGATGGAAAATTTTAAATTTCCCCCTTATCTAATTCTTCAAAAAACCAAAAATATCATCTGCTGTATCTACTGAATGAATACTTTGCGCAACCAGTCCTGTCAAATATTGCATTTTATCACCCTTATTTTTCATGGCATCATAACCTGAAACATAAACTAGCACTGCTAAAATATCAGAAGAAACATTTTCTATAAAAAATCATTAATTAGTAAATTTGAATAATCATATTAATATTCGACAAAGATAAATATAGAATCCTTATCATAAATAAAGGTAGAAAATCCTTATCATAATCTAGTAAAAGAGACGTTAAAGGGCCGTTAAAAGACCATTCATATTTGATGATGAAATTATAATATTGTTTTTAAAACGAAGCTTCTTCTCACTTTATAATAATTGTAGGTCATTTATTTAATAATTTGAACCTGACATTTACCAATACATTCCAAAACGTGATTCAGGATTGCAATTTTCCTAACAATATGTATTCAGCTTCATACTTTTGAAACAAACAGGGAATCAATTGAATGCATCTGTAATGTTATTAATGACTGAAAAGTTTGTGGTGATAAAGTTTCTTTTATTGGGACAGAATGTCAAATATGCTATTAGAAAGAATAATCAAACAAGGAATTTCCTAATTACTATTCCAAACAAATATTCAAACAACACTACGCGAAATGTCCAAACTAATGATTCGATGTTATGTTAAAACGAAATACTGAATAGGATTGAGAACAGCTACAAATGTTTCCCAAATAATCTAAAAATTAAAAAAGTATAAAACGAAGTATAGATAAAATATTATTTACCTTAGCATAAGTGATTTAAAATCACTTAATAGCAATAAGACAATCCAAAAAATCCACGACCACGAGTTCACAATCACAACCTACCACAAAAATACATCGACCATCTTGATCACGTGACTTTTGCGCTTCAAGGCCATTATAGAGTTGGCTGTGCTCTTCGTACTACTGACGCCTCCTTTCAATCGTCATTGCTTTCTACCGTCATGCGCCCTTTGGGCCTATGTGTCATGAGCCGGAAACATTGCGTAAAAACTGCAATATGCCGGCAATATTGATGATGATGATGATGATGATGATGATCACTGTTATTTAAGTGCCATGTGATCACAAGACTTTAATTTTAGATACAAATTTTTAATCACTATCATACATTTAACCAGCATGTTCTAAAGATGGAATCTGTATGATCTATATATCTAACTTATTTCTTTTGTTGTTAAGGACATTTATTTTCCATAATTTTTTATTAGTGTTACTAGTTTTTATTATTTTATTTCATTTTACCCAGAACTATTTTCATATCTTTCAACAACATACCCTTAATTTTAACTAATTTTTTATTATATATTAACAACTCAGCTAATCAAATACGGTTTATGTTTATCATATTACTTAATTTTAGATATAACTTTTAACTTCATTCGTACTTCTTAACGTTTGTGATCTTAAATATATTCTAAATTTTGATTTATGTGTTATATTTTACGAGCGTAATTACTCAGATAAGCGTTTTAATTCATTATATTATTTAATTTTGGATGCAATTTTTAACTTGTTTCCTACACTTTGTGCTTTCGTCACAAGCATATGATCTTTATTTATTTATTTTTTTTCCTTATTCGCTATGTAGTCTTAATTTTAACTTATTATATTTTCTGATTTTAATATGGCATTAATTTTGATATTTCATTTAATTTTTCATGTTTTTTCATATTCTTTAATTTCTTTAGCATTTTGAAGTATTTAAATTAAGCATTTTATTTTACGTTAATGATCGTTAATTATTTTTCATTCATTTTAATCCCTACTTGGTCTACATTTTATACTTCTATTTTAATTTATGCATTATACAAATTTTCTTTCTGTAGTAGTGTTATTATTACTACAACTTCTAATACTTTACATCATTTTAGACACTATTATTAACATCATTTGAGTTTTCAACCTTTCATTTTTCTTCATATTCAGAAATTTCCTCACAATTTTTAATATAACTCAGATTTGAATGCATGTATTTAAGCTTTTCGTTTTTTTTTATAGCACTATATTTAGTTTTAAACTTCGATTACCTTTAAGCCGGCTTGATATATTTAAAATTTTTAGAATGAAGTTACATCTTTCATATATAGATTTTGATTCATATTGTCCATTTCAGACACTCATACAACTATTTTATTTCTATTTCTGACGTTTTGTTAATATATTGCATTCATACCATTTTTTATTTACATTTTAATTGCCTTGAATATTTTATTTTTTAACTCACTGCCATTTTCTCACTGTAGACAATTACGACTATTCTGCTTTCATGGACAATTTTCTGAGAAAAATGCATTTATTTATATTACATATATGACGAAATAACTAACCATTAACACTTTCAAAATTAGTCTTTTGCTATTGAAACCTTCTATATACTTTTAAGTTCGTAAATCTATCAGTAGTTATATATACTATTCTAGTTCGTTAAAATGTTTTGAAATTCAGCTGAAGAGCTTTAACTTCGGAAATAATATGACAGATCTGAAATTTTCTATGGGAATTGAGATTTTTAAAATATTTTTGTGTTTTCGAAGCTGCTCCAAAGTACATGAAATCTTCAAACTTTTATGACATATCACAATTACTTTCATGAACAATTGCAACAAATATGCATTTTAAATAAGCTTCTCTATCTTGAACTCGAATAAATTATCAGTTAATACCAAATAATTTATAGGTAGTAGAAAGCATTTATTTATAGGAAAATACTCAGAACAACTAACATATACTTTTAAGAAATAAATAAATAAATGAAAATAATATTTTTGATCAAATCACTCCATGAAATATCACATCGTTTCAAGTTCTCGCATTCTAGTCCAGAAGAAAGTACAGGATGTTGTATTTCAGCTCACTTAAGATGAAATATCTTTCGTGAAGCATCGATTACACCTAATTTATATTTATACATCATTTTATTGCTGTTCTGACTCATTTCTATCAATTGGGCCTGATCTTCGCAGGGCCCGGGCTTTCGCTTTCAAGACTACCTTCAGAACCTTGTGTATAATATTTAAAATATGTGAAATTTTATGCATTTGTTTTTTCAACTGCAAATTTTGAAAGCATAAAATTAGAAGCAAGGCTCTTCAGCAAAAGTCATTTCTTCCTTCTTAGAAGAAAACTGAATGGAAACAGAATTTTTTAATCTGGCATTTTATTCATAAACTTAATTATATTTTTTACAATGGCGGGCACTTGCCTATAATGGCATTGGCCACTCCTAAGGCCAGAAGTGGTGGCCATTTTATTGTGATGGCACCTAATAAGCGGCCGCCGTTACCCCCTATGAGGGAATAGACATTTACATCCATGCCTTTTCCGGGTTTCGAGCCCGGGACCCTCGGAATCGTAGTCGGCTCTCCTAACCACTGTACCGCCTGGGCGGCCTAAACTTAATTATTGAACTAGTAAATAATTTAATTGCGCTAATTTTATCATGTTAGTAATAGAATATCAAGGTTATAATATCAAGGTTTTATAATATCAAGGTTTTATAATATCAAGGTTAGTAATAGAAGCAATAATTCTTTTGGGGGTTTTCTCTTCAAATTTTTTCCGAAAACCGATGCTGATATAAAACGTGTATTTTCCACTTTTCATATTGAAAATTTAAAAAAAGAGCTAATGGCGAGACTAGTCTGCTGATTTAATCAGCAGACTAGTAACGCTTTAACCATATATCTTTTGTTTTGAAAAATTAAAATCTTAAATTTTTTCGCAATCTATCAGGAAAAAAAATGGTAAATAATGTCGGGTATATAAATTTAATTATAATTCACATTTTATTACGAATACGCATTTAATTTATAATTTTAATCTTTGCAATTTTAAGAAAGGAATACTTTAACTTTTAAAAACTATAAACAGGATCTCAGACAGAGTAGTGTGACAAAATTAAATCTGTATGATGAACATATCGCTAAATGCAAAAGTATTAATTTTTTTTTTTTCCAAAAGTGTATGCACCGTATCTTAAACGAAAATTTCGATTACACACCTTTCTCATTTATACTAAATTAAAAAATTATTTTTGAATTTTTTTTAAAAAACATATAAATGATGATTTACTTGACGTTTGTGTATAATAACCTCAGCTTAGCATTCAGAAACTTTCATTTCTTTAATATCCTTCCCTTTGACGAGCGGGCAGGCGCTACTCATTCAACGTATACGAAAACTAAAATATGCTTCGAAAAATTTCACTGATTATTTCTTCTACAGATTTCAAATGTACATGCAAATAAAATTCACGGTTTCCGAAATTCTTGTGTGAAATTTAAAAAAAAAATTAAATTAGATTACCTCTTTTGATACGTGATGGATCTAACAAGAAATTTTCATTAGAACAATTACGCTTTTCGTCATTAAATGTTTTCCTCTATTACTAAAACGTAATTCAGACAGTACTGTTATACAATTTCAAATGAAAGAAAATGTTACCTCTTTCGAAGGTTTCTCACTTGTTCCTTTTCTTTTCAAGCGCAGAATGGGTTTAGTCTCCCTCTTGGTAAAGCCAAGGTTACTGCTAAACAGGTTTCGAGAGCTTCATTTGTGAAGGCTGTGTATTTTTTTAACACTAATATGCCAAATGGAAATCGCATTAAAAATTATGTTTCTGTAGTTTCGTAAACTGTTTCTACAATTAATTTTATTCTCGTGTCAAAGTAATTTAGTGGAGCTGCAAATGGAATTCTTTTCATACAAGGCATTTTTTAATTCCTTTATCCTAATAAAACGAAGTCGATGGAATGTTCTGTAGAAGAGGTTACATAACATTATTTTTAAGTTATTTTTATTGCAAGAATGGAAATTATTTCGAATTTTCTGTTCGAATTAACTTCCCACGTGACCAGGTTTCAAATTACATATCCAAACCTGTCCATCCACGAAATATTTAGGCATTCATCATAAATCAGTGGTCTCAAAATTTTGTTGAGCTAGGGAACCATTAATTTTATGGAATACCTAAAATTATAATTTTCTTTTGCTGAAATACGTCTAAAAATGTAACTTTCTTTTACTGGACCAATAAATTTACAATTTTTTTTGCAGAACACCTAAAGCTAAAATTTTCATTTATGGAATCCTTAAAATTGTGTGTGTGTGTGTGTGTGCGTGTGTGCGTGTGCGCGTGCACGTGCGCGTGTGTGTGTGTGTGCGTGCGTGCGTGCGTGCGTGTGTGTGTGCGTGCGTGTGTGCGTGCGTGCGTGTAATAATTATAACGTATGTTTTTAAGGAATTGTGTATAACAGGATCATGCAATGAGGTGTAAAAATGACATTCAAACAATCTTAACTTTATCGTATGAGAGGAAACAAACTAATAATATGACTTAAGGCCACATTTTAGTATATTCCTACAACATCCTCACTAGGCTCCAGCGTATGGGAAGTTATAAGGATTTTTAGTTGAGCTTCCTCTGAAGTACTTGATGTTACAACCACAATCGAGCATAACCCCTACATATCCTTGATAGATCATTTTAACAATATATAGATATATTGTGAGGACTTAACGAACACGCAAACTCCCGAAAAAAATCCAGTTTCTTCCTTATATGGTTAGTACGGGAAGTGAAGACTAAAAAGACTTCTCAATTTCTAATAGTTTGGAAATGGCTAAAGCTGCCAAGATAGACGAATTCAAGATTATGTTTTTCATCGGTGAAATAATGTGTTTGCCACTCCTTCCGCGGCGTTTTGATCAATCAGACAGTCGCATTTGTAAGAAACTGAAGATATATTACCTAGCTTTTAGTGGATTCAAGTAATAGTCACCATATCAAGTATGATTGATGTGCACACTCTATTCCACTTAAAACAGTATGCATAGTGTACAGTATACATTGCTTATGTACTGCGATTACAATCATTTTATTGATCGTGAAGAATAAGTAACTGCACAGAACAGTTCGCAGTTTGCGTAGACTAGTGTTGGCTATCAATCCATACCGTTCGATAAAAAGTAATTACTTAAGATTTTATATTTTTCTGTGCATTTTTCATAATTATAATTTGCATTAGTCTATTGCTGTTTGCCATCACTGAACCAATAGATGAATAATGGACTGTTCTGAAAGTTTTGCAGATTGCTTTGAACAACGGAGCACGTGATATTCATAAAACTTCATTAGTATACTGTGGTAATTACATGCACCAGTAACTTAGTGACAATGCACCAGTAACTCAGTGACAATGCACCAGTAACTTAGTGACAATGCACCAGTAACTTAGTGACAATGTCTATAGCCTGCCTTCTGTGTTGCAACGCTTATAAGACTTTTGCAAGGGCTATACAACATTATCGCCAAATGATCCGAAGACAACTAGCAAAAGACATTAGAATGGACGTTTCGCAAATTTTTGTAGCTTTCCGGCACCTTGTTTACTGTTTTGAAGACATTGAAAATGCCTTTTCGTCCATTGCTTTTCTCCTTTTTGAATGTTCAGTCAGCTGGCTGCTATTCTGATTGAACATGGTCATCGTTACTAATAGGATATACCAAAGCTGAACATTCTCATTATTCATTGCTTCAACAACTGCCATGATGTTGTTGGTATTTCTTACAATAACCTACAACGCTTCATGTGTTAATATCCAGAATGAAATTCTGAAGCAATTTATCATCAATGTTTCGCTGATTACAGTTCGTGGTCCTTTGATTTTCATTGATATGGCAAAATGGCATGGTTTAGCCCGTTTAGCAGATACTATTAAGGATACTCACTTTCAGTTGACAGCTGAACAGACTTTTGAGATTAATAAAAATATTATTTCGACAGTAATTGGACTTATGTTCACCTACAGCGTTTTCGTGCTTCAATTTGGATATCATTAGTACTAATACTCTTAGTACTAAATTCAACAATTACTGTTGATGCTTTATATTTTTCCGTTGTGTAATCGAAGAGAACTATGAAAGTTGCGAAAATCTGTTATGTCATTACATGCCAATGGAAGGCTTTTATGGAGGCAATTAAGTTTTGTAAAGTAAAAATGTCTTTCAGTAAACATTGAAGTAAAGCACACTCACTTTTCAATAAAATATATTAAGAGGAGTAACAGGGAATTGGAGTATGTGAGAATATAACTTGAGATTAAATCTTTCACGCGCTTTTAGTTTCATTATCCCATTAATACATAAACAGTCTCTCCACTGGTACCGTTAACACAGTATCCAAAATCAGTTCAATTCATTACCAAGAATCAAACGGGGAAAAAAAACTATAACAGAATCAACTCGAGGTTAACCAAGTCCTGTCTTTAAAATGTTAATTTTGTTCATTGCAGAACGAGGGGAAAATTACTATCCGAACCATCAGCATACGGAAACTACATAAAGGAAAAAAAAGCCATGGAGTAACAACAGTGATAGCAGATGCCATTTCAATTTATCACTTTGATTTCTTAATTTATTATGATGCTTATTCTTCCGTTATTTACGGTATGTCCTTTTAGGTCTGAATACTAATTTAATTTAGCTTAACCTGATGAACATACTTTACAGATTAAACTGCTTGAATGTACAAGCAAATTGTAAGTAGTATTGTTCTGTTAATTACAATATAAGAGTCCCCAAATTAATCGTGATTCTGAGTTAGCCGCGAATTTGGTCCTAGTATTACCCCGATAAATCGAAAGCTGACTGCAATCTGTATCTTTTGCGATACATACAGCGCTTCAAATTGGAGATGCATATGCACTCTGCAAGTGAATTTCTAATTCCTCTTATTATTTGAGAACTGTGCGCGTTTTAAGACTCTCGTATAAAGTATTTAGAACTTCGCATATAATTAATTCCAAGTCTCTTGCATATTTTTAGAAATGTCTATAATATGTATATGTATTCACTATAATGAAAATTCTATATATTGCATTTTGACTTATCTGGCTTGCCTGACAGTGATGTCAGAAAAAGCCCACGAAATTCATCGCGGCAAAGAAAGCAAGATAGCACCTGTCCTTGGGAAAGCCTCGAGCACTGGTGGCAGTACGACTTTGCTCATTTCCACCCCCAGTTTTGAAGTAGAGCACCTTTTACTTACTTACTTACCCCCAGTTCAGTTGCTATACCGTCTGTAATATAATTATCAGCATTTATATTCAATTGGTGGAGCATTCTATTGTCGCTGGGACCCGACAAAATCTTTATGGAATATCAAAACTTGTAGCAGAATTTATGAAGTTACTTCTGAAGACGGGTATTTGTGACTTGTGGTTATTAAAGAGACCCTGTCAAGACCTTGACTGTGCTGAATGAGGATTACAGCAATGTTTTATGTATTGTGATTTTGAGTTTACAGAGAACATTTGCTCTAGAAGTCAGTCGTAACTTGGATTATAAGAAGTTATTTAGATGCATTTATACTGAACAGTATCAGCTAGATATATTAATGTACATCATATGTGCTGTTCACATATTTGCAGAGATCCTGTTTAATATTTGCTTCTCGCATTCATAGTAGTCACTTGTGTTATTCACTTATTTACAGTTCGCTTACAATTCATTTATGTTCAGTCTGCCTGATAACTGAAATTGATGCTAAGAAATACAAATTAGTGTGTACAGTTGAAAATTTACGTGTTCATTGAAAAACACGTTCGGTTTACTTATATACAGAGCACCATTTTATATTAATTCAGAAGTCAAACAATTCGGCATATTTATTATTGTGTCTTAATCACCATTTTATATGCTTGGCATTTTGTAAAAGTTACTAGTACATAACTAGATTGCTTTTACATTTTCGCAGTTCATTGCCAAGTAGTCTATGAGAGTTTTAAATTTACTTCTTAATAGCTTACTCTGTTGGAGTTGTTCAGCACTTTTAGAGTTGTTTCCGGAGTACAGCACTCCTGGATGATGGGTCCGAGGGTCTCTCACCCCTCTTCCTCTACCACCAACGTCTCAAGTGGATTTTCGGCTCGCTCCATGCCGATATTTAGAGTGTCTAATGCTGCACTGACAACATCCATGCCTTCTCAGGGACTAGAACCCAGGCTCTTCGGTATCGCAGTGGGCGTCGAGAATTCTGTATAACAACCTAAAGTATCTGTTATGAAGTATTTTTTAGACAAAAAGAAGTTGTGCATAATGAGAAGCATAAAGATTGAGAAACACTGATTTAGGTATTTTCCTCTTTGCTTTTATATAAAGAATGCTTTTTAATATAAAGAATGAAAATGCAAGTTCAAAAACCGCTACTATGAATATTTAACTGTGAATCATGTTAATGTGTTTTTATTTGATGTATGAAAATGTAATCTCCCTGCTAAATATTTTTCTAAAGATCGGAAAAAAACCTCATTTTGAAAAGTGTTAAGAATCCGAATTAATCGTCCTCAGAAAATACGTTTCTAATCTACACAACATGTCTGAAAAGAATGGACGACATAACAGGAGCGTTCTAAATCTGTTTGGATTATTCAGATTTT